TGGGCACAAGCACACTCCCAGAGCCCAGGGATGTAAGCAAGTTGATGGAGCTCACAACTGCCACGCCTTGGGGTGGGGTCTGGGGCTTTAGGGGCCTTGGTAGCATCAGCATATGCACTCCTATTCCTGGACTTGTTGGTGCAGCTTTTTCAGGCCTCTCTTGTTCTTGTTGGCAAAACGCTGTTCTTCAGGAACTTGGGGTCAAGCCCTTCATAGATTCATGTCTTTGTGAACTGGGGTTTCTTGATATTGTTTCTGTGTGGACTGGTGTATGTGCTGATTCTTAGATTTGGCCATGTCTGCTATAATCCGGGTTCCTGAAGTGCTTGGGACCAAAAGAGGAATGAGGGAACATTTAAGGCCTGGTTAGTTCAACCTTCTTAAAACTATATGTATAAGAAACAAAGGCCAGAGAAGTTAAGGAACAAGGGTACTTGTGATACAATTATTCAGAGCTTTTAGCTCCAAATCTAGAGCTCGTCTATGGCATTAAATGATGCCCTGCATGGCCCAAACCCTCCTTCCTCTGAGCCCTGAACTTGCCTTCATCCTTCCCAGCTTTGTATTTTAGGAAAGGGACCCATTTCTTTCTTCTGGTTCAATGTTTATACATTACTTAAGGAATCTTCAGATAAATGCCAACCAACAAATGCTAATGGTCACAATAGCAACAATATACCAGGCTCTGTCTTGGTTTTGGGAAAGACTGAAGAACTGAGACAAGATATCAACCTGTGGAGAATTTACCTTCTTGGGGAGGTGATACAGACAATAAACAAAAAAATCAAAAGAGATAATAGATGATAGTGTTATAGAAAATAAGCAGGATAATGAGATAGAGGTGAATGACTAGGGGAACATATGGGTAGGAAAGATCTATGACACCATGATATTTAAACTGAGCCCTGATTGGTGGGGAATCAATAACTCCAGGAAATCAAGAGAGCAGTGGCTCTGAGGTAGGGATAAACTTAGCTGAGAAAGAGCAGGGAGGCAGGTGGCACACTGCAGAGTGAGCAGTGGGGAGAGAGGAAGTAGACGAAGCAGGGGGTGCAGAGGCCTTGCATTAGAGGACTCCTAGAGAGCTTCCTCTTTGAGTGGGTAGCTCCTAAGTAACAGTAAGTGGGGAGCTCCTAAGTAACAGAACAGACTTCATTTTTAGAAAAGCAGTCCAACTGCTTAGCTAGAGAACAGATGTTTTGGGTTAAGAATGTAGTGGGGAAGATGGTTTATTGAATGCTAAACTGCCTGTAGAGTACTTTGTACATTTGGGCTCTAATCCTCTCTCCACTGCCTACTAGAAATTATCAAGTCTATTTTATGGACAAGAAAGCAGACAAGGAGACTGGAAAGGATAGAGGAACTTGCCCAAGGTCATACAGCCAAATTTGAACCTAGGACCATGTGACCCCATGTAGCACATGGCCTCCTAAGATTGTTGACCTACCCCTGAGCCCCTGTGTTGAATCTGTGGCTCTCTCCATCCTAGCACTCTGCATCCAGCTTGTGTGCATAGAGCAGATTTCCTCTTTTCAGCTTCCATTTTAGTTTGGTAAACTCCTCAAGGTCAGGCATGGGGTCTGTTTTGTACCATGTGTTGTGAGGGTGTGGAGCCTACATGAAGGTTCCTCCTGGGACTTGTGTGTTAGCTTTCCATTTATTGTGACAAATACCTGAGAGAAATTAACTTAGTAAAAGGAAAGCTTGATTTTGACTCATAGTTTCATGGTTTCTGGCCATGGTTAGTTGGCCCAGTCACATCTGGTCTCATGGCAAGGCTATACATCAAGGTGGAAGTGTGAGCCTGAGGAAGCTGGTCCCCACATCCAGCCTGAAAGGAGAGAGACAGTGAGAGAGAGAGAGAGAGAGAGAGAGAAAGAGAGAGAGAGAGAGAGAGAGATACAGAAAGGGACAAAAAAGGACAGAGAGACAAAGACAGACAGGAAGCAGTGGGGGCCTATGTCCCTTCAAGGACAGACATGCCCTGTGACATCACTTCCTTCCCTTCAAGGACACGCCCTGTGACATCACTTCCTTCCACTAGGCCTGGATTCTCAGACTCCACTGGTGACCCAACAGTACACAGGCTGACAACCAAGCCTTCCACACATAGACTTTGGAGGGATACTTTCCAAGCTATAGCAGCTTAGAAGTTTTCTTTCTGAAAAGGAAATGAAACAAATCCATAAATCCACATGTGATGGGAAAAAAATCAGATGTCTTCCATGTCCCGAAGACTAGACTTTAAATTTTGACTAGAGTTTAATGTCTGAAGCAAGAATAGGTTGAGCGTAGAGAGAAAGGCTGTCTTGATGGACTGTCCAGCAGAATATGGAGTGGAGGGTACAGTATGTGGGGACTGGGGCTTTCTGGTCTCCAGAAAGGACCCCCTGTGATGGGGCAGAGCCAGTTGGTTCGTTAAACCTCAACATGGCCTTCCGGAAACAGCCCTCAAGGTAATCACTTGGCACTTTTGTTATAGATCACTTAGAACAAACTCAAACGTTAAGTGAGCCTCCTGGTTGTGTTCAGGGCCCTCTGGTCAGGACAGGAGGTGCAAACATTTCAGTTACTTTGAGAAAGGAATGTTCTCTTTTCACTCCTCTGAATGTTCCAAGAAAAATGTTTCCAAGAAATACGGTCTTCCTGTGGGTGGGGCCTCTCAGAGGTGAGAAAGATTCAGGCCATCGTTATTTTTTTGAGGTTCCAGGTATATCAAAATTTGAATACTCAGGGGTGTAGCTCAGTGGTACAGCAAGTGCTTGTTATGCACAAAGGTCCTGGGTTTGATACTCAGAATCAAAAATAAAAGAAAACAACAACAACAATAAAACCCAACAACTGAATGAATGTTACAAGACAGCTCTAGAAATGGTAGTGTAGGGCCAGGGATTTAGCTCAAGGGTGACGCCACCTGCCCTGCAAGTACAAGGTCCCAAGTTCAATCCCTGGTACCAAAAAAAAGGGGGGGGTTATTTTAAGTGTTATTTTATGAACAAATTGATTACTTTAAACATAAAAATACAATGTGATGTTATTGTGCTAGTAACAGTATAACTATAAGACCTACAAAAATATTAGTTCTGGTGCACTTTGAGCAGTGTGGCTGAAGAATGGCACATACATTTCAAGGTGTGGACATCTTCTGATCTTGCCAACTACAGCTGATTAGATAAGTGGATGAAAAAGACCATCTGGAGATAATGTCAGAGGGGGGCCTTGTGTGGTGAGGCCCAAGGCCAAATGGCCATGCAATCCAGCGTCTGGTTCTGTCAGCTAAGGCTTGGACTCTTACCAAGGTGATGTAACCATGGAGCAAATAAACCCTACCTGGGTGAGACCCTGATCCTGTCCTGTGACCCCCTTAAAATATCACATCCTGCCATTTTATGTAGAGCAGCCCACTGTGGACACGTTGAGTGCTCCTCCAGAAACTTCTGGGCTGACAAATCAAGTCACTGGTAACCAAGCTAGGACGCTCAAGGTATCTTTCAAACATTCTGTTTTAGAAGATGGCTACATGACAAGGAGGAATGGGCTTGGTGAGCAGAAAGGCAGCGTGAAAGAGCAGGGGCATGTTAGGGAGGACACTGGGTCTCATACACAGCTGTACATGCTCCCGGTTCTAGGATGCCAAGTCTCCTGTTTGGCCTCACCAGCCTTCTGCCATCCCTGTCTTTCCAGGCTCTGTTTCATCACTACTTCTCAGTTTCCAGCTTTTTAAACTGTGTATCTGGAACCATTCATGGATCATGAAATCAAATTGGTAGGCTGCATGTAACATCTCCTAAGCACACCAGAATAGAAAATATCCAAATACATCACAGATAATTAATGTAAAATAAAGGTGGAAAGAGCTACTGTTTTGTGAAACTTGTTTCAATTGTGTATATTGCTGTGTGTTGGGTTTAGATGTAAATTTCACTTTGTATCATAGGTTGGAGACAAAGTTTTCAATCCACTGTTCTGGGCAGCAGATTACAGTGTCACCGCCCTCTACAGACCTCATGCTTCTAAGCAGATTCACTATGGATAATGCTTTGCTCTGAAAGTTTGTCCCTCCTGCCAATTCCTATGTTAAAATGCTAATACCAAAGGTGATAGTATTAGAAGCTGGAGCTTTGCGGAAGTGATTATGTCATGAGGATGGAGGCCTGAAGAGCGGGATTAGTGCCCTCAAAAAAGAGACCTGAGAGAGACCCCCGGAACAATCTGCCGTGTGAGAACCTGGCAAGAAGGTACCTCTTATGAAACAGTCAGGCCCTCAGCAGACCCCGAATCTACCAGCAGCCTGATCTGTCTCCAGAACTGTGAGAAGGGAATGTGTCATTTATAGGCTACCTGCTTTATGATGTTTGACGTTAGCAGCCTGAGTGGATTAAGACAGTAGCCTAATGCTTTGGGCCATCCAAGGCTGTCTATAGGGTGAGCTGCTCTTTAGCACGTCAGCATCTTAGACACTCTCTGGCTTAGAGTCCTATTTCACAGGTAAAGGGGCTGGATCTGAGAAAGAGTAATAGTAATAGTAATAGAACCAGTTCTCTGATTATCGTTTCCCTGAGTCCCCTTCCAAGGCTCTTTGTCCTTATTTTATTTTCTTGATGTGGTCCTCTATTATGATATAGCAAATAATAGCAGAAAAGATGGGGATTTGGATCAGAAAACTTGGATTTTAGTTCTAAACCCATCACTTCTTACCTGTGTGATCATATGTTCAAAAATCTTAACATTTCTGCTGCTCAGTTGTATCCAATGTAAAAAAGGATAATGATTTTACTAGATTATGACTTAATCTATGTAATGGAACTTCTTAAAATGTGAGGCATTATACCTATGTTCTAATAATGATTAATTTTTTGCTCTTGAGTATCCATGACAATTATTCAATAAATATGTATTTAAAATTTTTTTATTTTAATCTTTTTATTTTGGTTTCTTATTTTATTTTTTATTTACTTACTTTTTTGTTATTGAGACAGGGCCTCAATATGCAGTTCAGGCTGGCCTTGAACTCAAAGCACTCCTCCTGCCTCAGCCTCCTGAGTGCTGGGATTACAGGCATGCACCACCACATCTGGCAAGAAATATGCATTACTTTGAGAAGGAAGTCATATTATCAAGACTCACTCTCTTAGGAGTATTCACTGCCACTTTCCAGGGGAGGATGTTATCTCACCCCAGCATGTCCTTCTACCCCCACCAGAGTCAGTCAGCTTAAACTAGCACAACGGCACTGCGTCACCCAGCGCCCTGTCCATGGGACGTCAGGCCTGGTCAGCCTGTGGGTGCACAGGAGGCCCTAAGACAGTGGATGACCCATTGCTGACTTGTTGAGCTCTGCCTGCTCTTGTGGGAACTCCGCGCCCTTCCCCTCAGTCTTACCAACACAGTCTTCTCTGGTTACTCCCGAGTTCCGAGGTGTACCACATTCCTGGAGAAATTCCTTCTCATCTCCGTGCCAGGCCTCGAAGGGAAGAAGAGACTGGGTTCAGAATATCAAAGTTCCACAGGAAAAGATTCCCTTCCTTCTGATTTTACACCAAAATCTCCCCCTTGGCTCCAACACTCACAAGCAGAGCCAACCAATCCATAAGCGTTGATTCCCTAGGAGGAGGAATTTAATTGTTTATCATGTGTGTGTGAACTTCTACTTGCTCGGGAGGATCTGCACCCACTCTCACTCCTGCAGGTCTGATCGTGGCCCAGACCTTCCTTTGCTGCGTTCAAATTGTGATTCTTATTTGCATTTCAGGGATTTTTAAAGCTATGATAACTGACCTGCAACACCTTAGCTTTCTCCACTATTAGGGTGTTGTTCTCGAAACCCCTAACCACACCTTCATCTTAGCCATTAATGCACAGCGTGACTTCCTCCCCTTTATGGTGTTTCCTGAGCTTCTGGTAACTGATTCCGCTTGATTAGAAAAAAAAAGGCTGTAGTTTCCTACAAAGCCTTGCCCAACACCTTCTAGGACCAAAGCACAAAACACTTCATTTTCTTGATCCACACATGTAAATCCGAAGCTGTCATTTCCACAGGAGCTCCAGGCATCACCAAATGGACAAGCCCCAAGAGCCGCTGCACCTTTCTGGACTTAGCAAACTGATAGCATGTAGGAGGTGACTTTGGCCAGGGGCTGGCTGGTCAGGGCAGGTCCTCAACTGTACCTGAAAATGATGGAGGTGCCCACAGCTTTTGGAGTTGTGACACCCTATCAGTGGTGTATTTAATCTCCCTTGCCTTCTCAGGGCACAGTGTGGATGTGGCATCGGTGTAGGGGTATAGGGCGTTAACAAATTACAATCAATTTTTAAATTTAAAAATATGAAGCTTGGATTTAGTTTTAATTCTCCCAAAGATCACTAATTGTTCTCCCTCCTGGTGATTTTTCGTGTATCTCAATTAGCGTTGTACATCATCTACATAACTTTATCGTAAGTGATTTCTTTAACGATTGAATGTTGTGATAGTTCACTGTTGTGAAAATTGGAGTAAGAAACACCCAGCTGACTGGCTTAACATCCTGGGTGTGACTGAATGGATTTACTGAGGACAGAGGTGGGAATGGCACCAACCAATAGGCTTGTGGCCTGAATGGAATGAAAAGGGAAAGAAGGAAGTCTTGCTGTTGTTTCTTGGGAGGAGCTCCAGACTTCACCATCGCCTTGGACATCCATCTCCAGGCTTCAGCCCAGACTCCAGCCTTCCAGCAAAGACCCTTCAGTTTCCTGATGCAGACTGGCACTGGACTCCACAGGGAGCTCCTGGCTCTTGCCTTTTGACTGGATCCTTTGGCTCTCCAGCATGCAGATGGGCTTTTTGTTCTCTTCCATACCTGACTCGGCAGGCCGCCATTGTAAGCCTACCTTGTAAAGCCACAATCAAGGAGCACTGACTGATAAAGATTTTGGTACCAGGAGTGGCTCTAGAGAAACAGAATTGAAAAGATGAAATTCTTTAGTGGTTTCTGGAGTTGGCTCTTTAAATTGATGAGACCTAAAGATGCCATGATCTCTTCCTCTGATAATGGGTAGAGTACTGATAGTTCACGGTGTGAACTGTTTAAAGTAATACGCAATGTAGATCCATTTGATTAACGTAATTCACGACTTGTGAGATGTAAGGAATTTAGTGACTCCATACAGGATACTTCTGAATATTTTTGGCACAATGGGAAATATAATGATGCTGGCTGTTGCTTTTAGCATCTTTGGACAAACTAGTGAAGGAAAATAATGAGCTCAAAGCATGCATAGAAAATCCAAAGTCTTCTGTGAGGACAAATTAATAAAGGAAAATAAGGAGCTCAAAGATTCCAATCCCAGCTCCCGACACACAGAAAGAAACTAAAAGTTTCTAAGTGCGTCCTGGAAGAAGATCTTCTCTCCTTTATCCACAGGCCTGAAAGTGCAGAAACCCAAACATAGGCCCTCATAATTCAATTGGCTGAAATACAGCGTTAAGTCTAATGCTCAGCCTGGAGGGGGTTCTGAGGTAAAGCCAAGGGCACTGATTGGAGAAGGATGGGATCCCATAAACTGGGATGGTGGTTTGGGGGGATCCTGATGAGGCTGAGGATGTTGATCTCCTAAACTCTGGTGAGAGAAAGAGATTTCCCCACCCAGCGTGGTGCACGCATCCCACTCCCACCTGCTGTGGTATTGGCCTCTCCTCCTCTGCAGTACCTGAGGAGACTAATCTTGTGTTGACCAAGCCTGATAATGCCGACACTGCGCACGACCACCCTCATCATGCATTTCTGCCTGTAGGCCTATAACTAAGCTCAAATCACAGAAGGGACCTAAGGGCAAGGTTCACATTGTAGGCCAGGAGGAGGTCTGCTATTCTCCCAAAGAACCCGAGTTTTCAAACTCTTATAAGCAGACCTGATGAGGCCTGAGGAGCAAGTGAGAATGGATTTTATGAGTGTGGGATAATGGTGGCAAAAACATGCACCTGGACCAGGCTGAGGTTTTCAATATGGCCCTGTTGAGTAGAGATTTTGAATTTAACTTTGCAGGTCATGGAGTAAAAAATGATGGTAATAGTTTACTTGACTGGTTGGCACAAGTATGGATCAAAAGATGGCCCACTGTGAACGAGTTAGAAATGCCTGATATTCCTTGGTTTTCTGTTGATGAGGGGATTCAGAGGCTTAGGAAAATGGGAATGCTGGAGAGGATTTGTCACGTTAAACCTAATTTCTGAATTGGGATGATCTGGAAAGTGTACCCTTCACCAAAACCATGAAAACCAGATTCGTGAAGGGAGCACCAGCATCCTTGAAGAGTCCCTGTCACTGTTCTTCTCTGTATGCCATATCCTACAGTGGCGACTGTAGTTACTCAATTGGGCAACTTAAGGGCAATGAGTTTAATCAGCTCCCTGAGTGGCGGGGGTTAAGTGGCAGCAGTCAACTGCCAAAAACAAGGTTGACATGTACCTTAATGTCATGGACAGCAGAAGCCGAATGAGGATCGAAATGGTCTGATGTGTGTAGACCTATGGCGTTGGCTGTGGAACCATGGTGGTCCCCAGAGTGAAACAGATAAGAAATCTACTCAATCTTTACATGGTTTATAATAATCGAAAAAAATTAAGGGCAAACAAACAGAAACCTACCTCAAATAGTAACAGAGAAAGTAACTAAAACAATTGAAAATTGGGTCAGTAAAAATATTTGACCGTTTTGAGCAAGTGTTAAGGATATAAATATGGAATTCATGGAGAAGCAAGCCATACATAACTCTAAGCCATAAAGGAATTGATTGAACAATTTGTCTCTGAAACTCATTCAAATGAAGAATGTGCTCCAGGATAGTTGTATTGAAATAGACGAACAAATTCAAAGCATCATATGAGTTAACAGGAAATTCTTCCAATATATGCAGTAAAATGTAGTTGAAACATTATTTCCAAATTGATCATGCCATATAAATTCTGCTAAAAATGAGTCCAGTAAATAAATGAGCTATTCTCTTCTTACGGTCCTGCATTTTGTTACATTTGTCCCAATTGAGTATTTATTTAAAATGTGCCACATAGGATATGCCACAGAAGTTGGTATCATTAGGGCTAACTGACCATGATGGATACCAGGGAGAGGGTGAATGTACTATATGCCGGCCACAAATGAGAATGAGTGCTTCATCCAGGCTGAACTATGTACTGCAAGATAAGCTGTACAACTCGAGCTGAATGGTTTCCATCAATTTCCAAGTCACCAATTGCTGGTGAATGGGTAGTATCTATACTTTGAAAAATTTTTCCCTCCTCACTAATTTGATCTGCAGAACAGAGACCAATTGTTCAGTTGAAGAATCAACTGAAGAATTTGACTTGCAGGGACAGATTGTTTGTTTAACTGGTCCCCATAAAGATCAAACATAATACTTTGAGGGTGCCAGATAAATGGGGGCATGAGCTTCAGCTGGTGGATCTCAGAAAGAGATCCTAGAGGAGATTAGTGTGTTAGTCACTTTTCCATTGCTAGGATAAAATTCTTGAGACCCGAAACTTGAAGAGAGGTTTATTTTTAGCTCATGGTTTTCAGAGGGTTCAGTCAATGGTTGGTTGGCTCCAAGGCTGAAAGGCATGGTGGAGGGAATCATCTCAACTCATGGCAGCCATGAAGTAGAGAGAGAGAGAGAGAGAGAGAGAGAGAGAGAGAGAGAGAGAGAGAGAGAGAGAGAGAGAGAGAGAGAGACAGAGAGAGAGAGAGGGAGAGAGAGGGAGAAGAGGAACAGGAGGAGGAGAAGGAGGAGGAATAAGCAGAAGCATCCAGGTCACACCCTTAGTGACCCACCTGCAACTAGACCCCACTCCTAACAGCACATTCAGCTACCAGAGTCATCAATGGTCCAATCTACTGATGAGCATAGCAGCCCCCAGGATCCTTCCACACAAGAGATTTGACAGGGACATTTTAGATCTAAACGATAGCAGCTGGATTTGAGGGAAGTCTAAGGGATTGGTAAGACCTTTATAAGAGTTTCGTAAGGAAAGAGGTCACCTAGGTGGAAATTCAGAGACATATAGGTTCCTGGACTCAACCTCATACCCCCAGGAGCTGAGGGCTGGCACGTGGCCTTCTGTTGTGCACCCAGGGCTGAGACCTACCAGGAATGAAGGCTCAGTCTGTTCAGACACCAGGAGCAAAGACATCTCGGAACAGCACCTCGGGGCCTGGGACTGTGAGCACCAGCTATTTCTCCCTCTTCAGAAGACCAAAGAGGAATGAAATGAAGCTCAGGGACTTGGTGTCCTTTGAAGATGAAGTTGAGAGACGTAAAGGTTTTCATCCATTGTGACAAGGAAAGGCTTTCTCTGGAACAAGGAAAAAAATGCAGTTAAAAATCCGAACCAACAAAACAGCACAGAATCTCATTTGCCTATGTCAGAAGTTGACAAATTTTTTCTGTAAGAGAAAGTAAATATTTGCAGCTTTAAATACCACATGGGCTCAGTCACAGCTATTAAAAACGCCATTGTAGTACAAGAGCAGCACGAGACAATATGCATTAGACAACATGTAAGTGAATGAGCCTGGCTGCGTTCCAGTAAAACTTTACGGGCACCGAAATCTGGATTTCACACAACTTTCACATGTTACAAAATATTAGTTTAAAAATTTTTTTTTTGCCAGGCATGGTGGTGCACCCTGTAATCCCAGCACTTGGGAGGCTGAGGCAGGAGGATCACCACAAGTTCAAAGCCAGCCTGGGCTACATAGTGTGTTCAAGACCTGCACTATAAAGTGAGACCCTGTCTCAAAAAGTTAGTCTTTTAAAATTTGTTTTCAACTGTTCAAAAATGTAAATTATTATTATATAATATATTACATAGTCTATATTAATGTATAATATATTATATTACATATATTATAACCCCAATGCCCATCAGTGTGTAGGGCATATACAATAGAATATTATTCAGCCTTTAACCTTGAAGACCTTATGTGAGGTGAAATAAGCCAGTCACAAAAAAGGGTAAATATTGTATAATTCCACTGCAATGAGGATCTTGTTAAATTCATAGAAACAAAAGTAGAAGGAGGTTGTCAGAGGCTGGAGAGAGGAAGGGAGTTGTGTTTAATGGATGCAAACTTTCAGTTTTATAAGACCACTATGTTCTGGAAATCAATGTCACAATAAGGTGAATAAACTTAACACAACTTAATGATACACTTCAAAACAGTCAGCAAGGCAAATTTTGTTATTTTCTAAAACTACAATTAAAAAGTAAATTCTTTATCATAAAGCCATCCAGAAACAGGCAGCGGACCTGTGGGCAAGTTTTGCCAACTTGCCAGTCTGAGGGTCCAAGAGGTGGTCCCAGTCTGCTCCTCAACTGTCCTGCAGGAGATACCTGTATGGACACACAGGAGGGAATGCCAATTTCCACAGCTGTTGCCCTGCAAGTCTGTAAAATTTTTTTAAATACTCCTTTAAATGAAATTCATGAATGCTGTTAAACCCTGCCCCTGGATACATGTTTTAATGTAAAATTGGCATTCACTGTAAAAATCAGTAAAAACTAATGCCTGCTCGGGTTCAGTGAGGGTGAATAATTCAGTCAAAGCCACAGAGCGAGAACAAAGCAGGTATGGGGCTGGACCCCAACATTCCCCATTCCACACTGGCACTTTCCCAAGCCCTAACCCCTACCCAGCCCACAGTATTGACCCGGTCCTCGAAGTAACGGTGGCAAACCACTTTCGAGTTTCTACTCCCGGGGTCATCAATCAAACCTTTCAAATATTATTTATTCTTTGTTCTAGAATATTTTTGTTTTATTCTAAAGCCCATTTTCTTCTCCTACTCTCACTATGCTTTCTCATCTATCTGTAATTCTAGACAATGGAGCAGCAGATCGTATTACTGTATCATTTGTTCTCCCTGCCCAGTCCTCCTGACAGGAGACCTGGCCTTAATGCTTTGCTCTGCCACTGGAATGTAAGCAGAAGAGAGAGTGAGCCGCTCCTTAGCAGAGGTGTTAATAGGAATTGCATGTTATTAGGCCAAACTTTCTCCTCTTAAGCTCTTTATCCTCCCAGGGAACCACATGTCCGAAGTAGTGTCTGTTCCTTTAGCCTGGGGCCCAGGATGAGGAGACAGGGAAGCGGCCACACACTTGGCCTGCAGACCGCAGCCAAGCCAGCCTCGCTGGACTCATGTGTTGCTGGCCTCGACCAGAATTCACTAATAAGAAAGAGTGCAAGATGAAAAGGAAGACTTTATTTGAAAAACAAAAACTCTGCAAACTGGGGGGCACAGCCTTTGGTACAAAATGAAAGTGCGTTCTGAAGGAACAAAGACAGGGTCCAGTTCACCCAGAAGTATTTCCCGCCCAGATTAGCGCCCTCTCTGCTCATGCAAATGAGAGATGCAAGCATGCCCATTCCTGATTGGCTGATATTTACAGATGACTCTAGGTCATAGTTCATTGGTCAGGTCTGGGTAGCAAAATGAGACTTTTAGAAGACTGCTCACTTCGGTTTAACTGACTTAAGAACATGCAAAGGCAGGGCCAGGGATTTAGCCCAGTGGTGCTAAATCCTGCTTTGCAAGCACACAGTCCTGAGTTTGATCCCTGGTACCAAATATAAATAAATAAATAAATAAGTAAATAAAACATGCAAAGGCCTAAAATTTTGATTTGTGGCACCTCCAAGTATTAGTCAATGCTCCTTTGCTGGGATGAAATACTTGCTATCCACAATTTAAAGATAAAAAGGTTTATTTTGGCTCATGGTTTTGGTCCATGGTGGGCTGGTTCCAAATAAAAAACATCATGGTGGAAGAAAGCTGCTCCATTCACGGCATCCAGGAAGCAGAGAGCAAGAGAAGAGCCAGTGAGAGAGACCTCCCTCCACAGGCCCAGCCCAGGGAACTACCCCTCCAACCAGGCCCCACCTCCCAAAGCCGTGTTCAACTGTGAACCTAGCAGTGAACTGGCCACTCATGAAGTTAATGCCATCATACCATCTCTAAATACATGGACTTTCCTGGGGACATTTTTGATTCAAACCATAACACTGCAGAGAAAGAATACATGCTTCTGACAGCCCCAGCTCAATAGCCAAGGGCTACCAGACTTCATTCTGAATTTAGGCCCAATTAGCCACCTGGAACTTTCCTGGTAGATTCCGCTTTCCTAAAATTCACACAACTAACTCTAGCAGTTGTTTGCTATACAGTATTATCCCAGCATGCGCTAATAGACCTCTTCTTGAAGAATCTCAATACATCGCACAGACGGATTCTCTTTTCTCAAACCCACAGATCTTGTGCCCATCATCTCTGGTGAGCTCTTAGCAGTTCTTGTCAAAGCCAGGACAGCTTTCTCTGAGCTAGCAGAAATGTATGACCTTAAACTTTCACTTGTCAGAAAGAGCTCCAGGAGAAAACTTGCTCAGAATCCACATAGTCCTGATTCCTGACAGTTGATAACAAAAGTATAGAAACAGGAGTGTGGATCACGAGGTACAAGGTACCATACTTCTTGGCTGCTTCTTTGATAGTGGGAAGGAAATCATGGAAAACAAAGTTTTCTTTTAGAATGCAAAGAACAGAAGCTGCAAACAGCTGAAAGTACAAGTTATTCCCTGGGCTTTGGGGAAGATCAGAGTCAGCTCTGAATTATTCATTCATACGAAGAGATGAGTAGTGGTGTGGACGATCCAAAGCACTAGAGAAACTTAAAGTTCTTCTCAGGGGCTGGGAAACTGCAAGTTTTCTCCCAAAATATATATAAAATGCTTCATAGAAGGAGGAGTTTATTTCTCCACAACAATCAAATAACTTGATGAAAATATGGGTCACCTCTGCTTCCTTATACATTAGGGTTCTACAAAGATTTCTCCTGAAAAATAAAAAGCACAGAAATCATTGACTTAAAATACACTTCTGTTTTGGCTTTGACATCTATTTATTTCAAAGACAAACTTTATTTTTCAAAAGCAGCATTAGGTTATAGCAAAATGGAGCAGAAGGTCCAGAGTTCCCATACCTCCACTGCTCCCCACACGAGAAGCCTCCTCCATGGATGGATGATTCCATTAACAAGGGTCCCTATGCAGCGGTTCATTTGTTAGAAATGATGACCCAACCCTGAGTTCAAGCCACTGAAGTCTGCCATTTACCTTAGGTTCACTCCTGAGGTTTTGACAAACGCGTGGTGACAAGTACCCACCATTATAGATCACTCCGAGCTGCTTCACCGCCCTAGCTCTCCAGGGCTCCACCTAGCCTAGCCCTTTCTCTCCACCACAAACCCTGGCCTCCACCGATCCTTCCACTGTCTCCATCTGCCCTTTCCACAATGTCATAGAGTTAGAATCACATGGTATGTAGCCTTTTCAGACTGGTTTCTTCTAAGCATACAGTTTCTAAAATAAAACAACATGAGTTCTTAATTGTGTGTGTGTGTGTGTGTTTCTGAGCAAGATAATAAGCTTACATTCTCCCAGTCCACACACAGCTGGATCATATAGGGGCGCAGTGTCGGTCCTGCTGACTTGGGGTTTAAAACAATAATCCCCAAAGTGGAAAATTAGCTGTGGAAATAAAGGGTTGAGAAACAGCCCTCTTTCCCAAACCTTCTCCTGCTTCGGTCTCCTACCTGAACCCCACCCATAGCCCCGATGTTTTCTCCTCCTTCTCAGAGGTTTGGGGGACCCTGTCCTACCTAAGTGGATTATCCACATCAGCCAGGGAACAAAAGTGTTGGACCTATCAGAGAGGTGTTCTGATAGGCAATGGGGAGGGACATAGTAACAGCAGTAAAATACAATCCTTGCCCTGTAGAACCTCAGGCCATAATAGTAGCCAGCGGTTTGTAAACAAATAATCTTTCAGAGAGATTGCAGAAATAGAAACAAGTCAGGTGGAGGAAGCATTAGAATGTGGTCTTTTTGAAAGGACTCAGGCCCTGCCCTCAGAGAGTCTGGTTTAATTAATTGGTCTGGGTTGAGAATGTTGCTGGCGTGTGTTCAAAGCGGTCCCCGGGCGACTCTGTTAGCCAGGGCTGAGAAACACCCCAGACAGACAGAGTCAGGGACCTGGGGGGTGAGGCCCAGCGCCCAGGGTTTTAACGAGCCCCTCAGGTCAGGCTGCCATACGTTCAAGTGTGAAAACGCCTGGTGTGGAGCGCAGACAGGGGCCTGGAAGGTTCTGGAAGGCTAGCATTTGGAGCAGAGGGACGAGCCAGAGGGGCTCATCAACAGGCTCCCTAGTCCCTTGTTGCAGACTTGCAGACCCGGCCGGGCGGAGCTCTCCCCTAAGCCTGGAGGAGCGTTTGGGGACCAAAGACGCTCCCGGGGAGCCCGGGCTGCTGGTCAATGCGTTGCCACCTGAGCCCCTGAACGCAGGAAAGGTTAGGCCCCTGTGAGCCCACAGTGGGTGACCAGAAAGGGCTCTTCCTGGAGAATCCTAGCTCGCACCTTGCGGCTCTTCATCCTTCACCCCAAATTCCAGACGAGAACGCATCCAGCCCCATTCCCAGCCAGACACTGCCTCGGCCTCGGCACACCAACCTCTTCTCATCCCACACTTACGCTTCACCCACGATCAAAGCAGCCCTTTCCCGGAGCAACGCCATAGGAACCCCCCTCTGCGGCTCGGGTGCTCCCCGCCCCCCAACTATGCTAGCCGGTGGAAAACAGCGAGTCCAGCCGCCTCGTATCCGCCCCCCTCTGGCCACCTCCCCTGCAGGGCGCGACCCGCCGCGGTGCCCCGCGCAGGGACCCCGAGGGATCCCCGCTCGGCCGCAGCCCGGGGTCTGGGGCGCAGCCCGGCGGGGAGGGGCCGCGGCCGCCTGCCAGGCGTTGCCGCGGGGCCCGAGGCTCCTCCCCTGGGGTGGCCGAGCAGGAAACGGGGCGCGGCGCGGGGCGCGGGGGACGCGCGGGCTCGGCTGGCAGCCCCGGCGCACAGCCGCGGCCCGGGCGCGCGGCGCGGGGCGGAAAAGCCTGTTTACACAGCCTGCACACCGCCCGGGGAATAATGCAGTAAAGGAAGTCAGCCGGCTCGGCCTGACTGCTCCAACTTCCTGCTCTCACACACACCAGAGGGGGAAAGAAAAAAAAGAGGAGCGAGAGAAAGAAAAAAAAGGGGGGGAGAAAATCAGGATCTCATTACAAGAGCAACAGACCGTCTGCAGACGCCTGTCAGCATGGAAAGCCGTGGGCTTTCGCCCGGGTCCTCCTAGAGCCCCCCGGAGAAGGATCTGAGAGCTCCCCCACATCTGGGTAGGTCGCTGGGCGTCTGCCTGTTGCTGGGACACTTGCAAAGTTTCCTTTACGGTGGTTTTTTCCCCTTTCTTTCTTTCTTTCGGGTGGCTTGGTGGGGGTGGGGCGGTGGGCCTGGGGTGGGGGTGCGCCCGCCGGAGGGGACGCGGGATGACTCGCACCTCCACTGTCATCCGGCCACCGCCGATCGCGCCAGGCCTGGGCTGCGGGGACGCGTGCGGGGCTGCGCCGTGAGCCCAGAGGACGGGTCCCCGGGGCAGGCCGAACCGGGGCCGCGCGGCGTGGGTCCCTGGCACGCGGGTACGTGAGGCGAGCGGGCCGCGCACCTGGAGGCTGCGCCGTGTTGACCCCCCGGGGTGGGCAGGGGGCGCCAGCGATGGGGTCCAGGGAGGGAGACAGGGATGGAGAGGCGCGCGGAGGGCTCGGGCTGCGAGGGCGGGGGGCGGGGGTGGGGGGCTGCGCCCACTCCTGCAGGGCAGGTGCCCCCGCCGGGCGCACGGCCAGTCCGCCCACACTGCAGAGCCGGTGCTGGACCGGGTTTGGGGGAAGGACCCGGCTGGCCTTGATCCTGGGGCTCCTGCCTCTGTAACTTCGGATTGAATGCTGGCCTGTGGGGCTACTGTAACTTTTCTTGGGGAGGGGATTGGTTCAAATTTGAAGACTTAAAAAGGAAAAATAAAAAAGCCTCGGTTTTGTTCAGTTTTCTGAACCAAGTAGTCCAGGAGACTAGCTGTTGTTAGGCGGCGGGTGGGGGTGGGAGCAAGAAATGCTATTTCAGAAACTGCAAAAGGGGCTTTTTAGAAAAAAAGAAAAAAAAAACAACAACGAGTGTCGGGAGAGTTTCAGGCTTGTCTGGAAACGGCAAGACTAATTGCCATGCGCTTCCGCTTTGAAACTGGCAGCAGACAGCATCTTGAAAATGACTCACTAGAGGAGCTCACAAAGAAACTGTGGTTTGCTCCTTCCCAGGTTTATGTATTTGTGCCTTTTACAGTTTCCTTTGTAGTGTTCGAGGGTCCCCCGCCCCTTCCCCGCCAGCCCCCTCCAGTCCTCCCTGCTTTGAAAGCCCCAGGCCGGTCTTTAACCCGCCCCCCCCCAGCCCCCCAGGCCCCCAGCCCCGGGGTGGGGGCAGACAGAAGGGGAGGCCGAGCTGTTTTTGGAGTTGGCTGTGGAGAGGGTTAAAGGGATTCTGCTGCTGGAGGGGGAAAAAGTTCCCTGAATTTTCCACTGGCTGCTGCAGGAAGAGAGAGCCCCTTTAGTCATTGCTAAGTAATGTCTGCGCACACACACCAACTAATCTCATTAGGAGTTTCCGCTGCTCGGCACAGGAGGGGTTTTGTGCAGCCGCTGTCAGCCTGGGGAGCCCAGCGCTGGAGAGGGAGACAAGTTACTGCCTTATTTACTTCGAGGTGCCTTCTCCACCCCCAGGAGCCTTTTTAGGGCAGCGTCTCAAAAACTTTAAAGTCACTTTGGCCATTTTGGATTTTG